GAATTTAATATTAGATGATTTCTCTTATGTTATAAGAATGGTCTAGAGACTTTTAATTTAACTGATTTGAAGGGCCAGTTTTATATTTCTCGTGAAATTAGACACAATTATAGAACAACTCTTTGAATCAATTATCCTGCCAAGTGATTAGACTCGACAATTTCTGTCGTGATTACGTCATGCAGGATGTAGGATCAGTAGGTTGGTACAGCCTTGAGTCAAACGTCGTGCTTGAATTGCTCCTATTGTGTTCGTAAAGTGTCTTAAGCCCCTTTCAAACCGATGCAACATTGATAGTTTTTACATTTCGTGTCCTTTTGCACACCCTGTTGCATGTTGTTGCGTGTTGTTGGGAGTTGTTGTGCAAAGTTTGACGCCAGTCAAACTTTTAAACCAACAACTCTCAAAATTTCTTTTTTTCTGTGATCGCCGAAGCGTGGCCCAACAATGTTGGATCCGTAATATAATGCATATGGCAGCGCTTCCAACGTTGTTGAGGCCACACAAGCGCATTAAGCATGGTCTCCTTGGAGTTTACAAAATCTTTATGGTCTGTATCCTTTCCACGCCGAAGTATTGCAGGTCCCAACAATGTTGGGAGTTGTTGCGTCCGTTTGCACACTACTGCCAACACGAACGCAACAACGTACAACATTGTTGGCCTAATAATGTTGGGATTGTTGCGATCTTTTGTACGTAGCTTAAGCTTTCTCAATACGAATCTGTGCCCGAACAATTGATACTTATTTGAGTCCCGTAACTGAGTATAAAAGTCATGCAATACACGCTTTTAAGAATCAAAACGTTAGGCCTCCAACATTTAACTACAGAGAGCTGTAAGAATCGCAATGTGTCTTCCAGCTAAATTTCCATTGGCAGTTAGGGGGACTGTAGATTAATTTGATATCTTAGGCATCTTAATGTATCCTAGTTAAGTACATTATGTTATTTGGTGTGTAGTAAGTTAGATGTCTCCAATTTGTTTACAACTGTGTAAAGTAACTATCATTATCATTATATTGTCATTATCATTATATTTTACAAGAATATTAATTTTTTAACACGTACATACAGGAGCTGTGGCAAAGAGTTCAATTAAAGCTACAGGTGAAAGCAATGTCACATATCCTGTAAAGAAAACAATGGACGACAATGACTTTGAGGAGGACACTTTAAGAGGTGTATATAAACTGAATGAAAGAAGTTTAGTATAGTTGTTGACGTTGTAACATAGGTTTCAGGATTAATCGCTATTTGTAGAAGAAGTAGGAAATTTTTAAGTTCGTTTAGTCTTTACCTTTGGAAGTCTGTGTAGCTAGAAGTTTGGTTGTAGAGTATAGGAAGGAACCTCTCATCCCCTACCCCACCCCCTCGCTGTTTTTCCTACTCGCATCTCTTCGCGCCTTCCCCTCGATTTGCATGAAACAGGATAGTTGCGGAGCGCGCACTTTTTCCCCATTCCCCTCGCGGCTGCTCCTCTCGTTCAAGGCGCGCTCCCCGCTGAAAACCGCCAGCCACGCAGACTAGATTGACTACCATAACCTTGCCGCGTAAAGCGTCTTTAGCACACGTTTGAACACGTTTGTCAGAAAGTGCGAGTAAGGAAGGTACGAGAAACAGTTACAGAACGTTCCTCGTACGTGCTTCCTATCTCAAACAGTTCACAGTCTTGTTAAAAACCCAGTGTCGCATTAACCCCGCTGATATGAACCTCGGTCGCTTAAACGGGGTAGTGTCATACTAAGCCTTAACTAAAATATGGAATGGCAGGTTTAATTTAATGCTGACTATCCACCACCTGCTTGAAGTCTTATATCACTCGAACTGTCAATCGCTCAGAATAAAAATAGTTCTAGATTTTCTGATTGCTTGACGTAACGTTGTGGAGAAGGTCGTCGACTGCAGACTTCAAAATGTGGTTGTTGTCAAAACGGGGCGATCGTACTGTCCCGATCTTAATAGCGAAGCCCGCATTACTATAGAAATTGGAAAACTATCGCAGCAAGAAAATTTTGTTATGACGTCAGCGTACGCCTGCCTGTACGAACGCTGTACAGACTGTAGGAAAGAGGCAGGGATGACTCTGCAAGTAAGGGGATCGACGGGGGAGTCCGATACATGCATCTTCCGTTTGTCTGGGCGGAGATTTAACCAGTTCCTCTTTTCAATCAACAACAACGAAATTATTTATCAATTAAAGGGGTTAGTTTGTAAAGAAACTGTGGTGTTGCGTCGGTAGGTAAATAAAACTTACACAGAGACTTGGTTTTATCAGCCAACTGAGTTGATAATTAAAGCAAATCGGGAACTTAGAAAGATTGATAAACTGACGTTCAGATTGCTAGCCCTTTGTTAGAGCGAATTGGTCTGACTAATTTACAGCTGTAGTCTAGTAAATCCACGGGGCAAATGAACCTCTCACAACAGTTGTGTTGGGAGGTATACTCTGATGCAAGGCATGTGGTCACACTTCCTCAGGAACATTGTTTTCGTTTTAGAAAAAGCAGAAGTACTCAAGAATGCGGGAAATGAGGCGTACTTGAAGAAAGATTTTGCCACAGCCATTTCCTTTTACACGGAAGGAATCCAAAATTCAATGCGCCTATAAAGAACTCTTTTCCAAGCTATACAACAACAGATCGACGGTATACTTCAATTTAGGTAATGTACTGAATGAGGGATCAACAACTAACTGTCTATTTACTGAGGTGCGTGGCATTTAAGGATATCCCTGTAGATTTCCTTTAATATTCAGTTTAGAGAGTGCACGCTCATTTCTTGTAAAAGCAAGACTCGCTAACCGAAGGAAACCTTTGGCTGTCTCTGTCTTTTTAACCAATGTTCAAGCTCTGCAAAATCACGTGCTAAAGATGGTGCTCAAGATGTTTTAATGGTGATTCTTATGCCTTTTAAAAATACAGTTTCTCATCGTTCTAGAACGAAAAAAAGAAAGAGGGAGAAAGCTTACATAGTACTGAGTAATTCGCAAATGAGAGGTTTTCAAAAAAGGCCGACCTGAATTAAGTACCGAATAATTTCATACGGCTCTTCGAGGAGTTAATACCGTAAACGGTGAGTCAGAGTGTAACAGTTGTGTCCATTTTTTTATTAGACGGGGACCGTAAACCAAATTTAATTTTAATGTGCGTGCTGCCTCTCAGCTAAGTGCCACGGGGTAAATTTTTTCGTCTTAATGAGAGTCAATTTTTTGCGTGAGGGTGTCCGGAATTATATTTTGATATATATTCTTCTTAATTAACAATTAATGAATGAGCCAGAGAATCTAATGAAGAATTATGGAGATCGAGGAGGATGTTATCGGCCGAGGCGGTTAACACCCTCGGAGATCTCCATAATTCTTCATATGATACGAAAGCCGAATTCAACAATTGTTTTATTATTAACAGGCCACTTGCACTAAGAGGTCACGTGACCAATGCTTCCTTTAAACAATGAGTCGGAATCTTGCTGATACCAAAAATTGACAGAGCACATAAAAAATATCTTACACCCGAAATTTGAGACGAAACGCATTTAAGGGAGATATTTTATGGCACTTTGATTTTTCAACAAAGTAGTATGATTTGTATTGGCCGCCAATACAAAACCAAATCACTATTTAATATTTTGTTAAAAATAGGACCCACTAATCGTTTTTTGAAGAAAAAATCATATAACTATCATTTTCATAAAACGATGTCACATGACCTCTTAGTTCAAATGGCCTATTCAAAATCATTCATAGTTTAAAAACATAGCTAAAACATGCTTGCCTTCATCGATGTTAAGTTCATCTTCGTTAGTGCATGTTTAGGGTTGTTCAAATCGGCAAATATTCTCCAAATAGCAGATGTCGCCCTTCGAGTTGTCTTCTTGCTGTTCTTGTCATGTTTTTAGCTATTATTTTGCCTAGTTCTTACTTAAGCGAGTGAAATGTCCGCCAGTTTTGTTTTCACAACCAAAACAACCCAACTTCGTCCCCAGGTCTTCTCGGTTAACGGTGCATTAACCTGCAAGAAGGCTGCACTTTTGACGTCATCGGTTCATTAAACGCAATTGCGTGTGCTTTTAGCAAATCAGAATCGGAGAAATATTTTGAATGAATAATAAGGATGATTATCATATGGGTATCTTTTTCAGAGAATTACCATGATTGTCTGAGTGACGTAAAAGCTGCAACAGCACTACAACCATTTTATCTTAAGGCGATTATGAGAGGTAAAAATGAAACTGACTTGAAAATCTCACGCTTTATTTCTCTTTTATGACAAATGACAAATGAGTCAACTTTGTTTCACTAGGAGCGAGCGCCTGTTTAAAGTTGAAGCAATTTGAAGAAGCCATCATCTGGTGTGATAAAGGACTAGCCGTATCCTTTCTTAGATCAATACACGCTGCCTCATTGCACAACTATCATTTTTTTTACTTTTGATATTTCGCTATCAACTTCTTTTATAGCTTTCAGTAAATTAGAAGTTGAATCAATGAAGGTGATTTAAAATGATGATCTGTTAGTAAAGCGTTTTAACGGTTTACATTAAGAGGAGCTGCCCTTGATCTGTACAGAAAAAGATTCCATTTCTTTTAAACTACAACTGTTACTGTGTTTCCTATTGTCATTACTACCACTATAAATCCAAAAACTACGTAAGTCCTAGGTTAAAAATGAATTTAGATCATTTTCTACACCTTTACCCTTGTAAGATTTACAAGGACAACCAGGAACTGTTGGAGATAAAGAGTTGCTCTATCAAGGAACACGAAAATCTTTCAAAACAGGGAGGTGACGAAGAAGCAAAAGAAGAGGACGATTCAGGAAACAACCCAAAATCTCTTGATTGCACATGTAAGTAAACTGCAAACAAAAAGTGGGCTTGTTTACCAGGGTCTTTACTTGAAGTGGATCTACACTACATTTCGTATGTCAGGCAACATTTTGCAGTTTTATTCTCGATCTGGCCTTGACTAGTTTACTTACTGGCAGAACTCAAGACTCTTTTTGTATTTTTATTTCAGTAACTACAGAGACTCACAAAAATGCTGGCAATAATGCATTTCGTAAAGACGATTTTGTCACAGCTATAAACTTGTACACAGAGGGAATAGAAGTAAAATGCAACGATGAGGATCTGAATGCAAAATTGTACAACAACAGGGCTTCAGCCCACTATCACTTAGGTAAAGTATCATTCATATCAACTCAAAGCATCAACATTGCATTAAATTTATGTGCCGTAATAGGTTCAATTTATGCATGCATCTTCCGCCAATACATATTTCGTTGCATTCGCAAGGAATCTTATAAAATACTCACAATCTTGCTTTCGTTGGTCACTAAACTTTCGTTATATAGCATAAAGTGTATTGTAGTATTGGATTTGAAAAAACCTCGAGCTTACGCAAGGTTTACATATAAAGTAGACGCTGCCCACTCAGTCAAGATTTAATCAAATATTCGTGCGTATTATTCCTTGTAATATGCGTGTGATAAAACTCTTTTTCAGGTAATTATCCAGATTGTCTAAGTGATGTAAAAACTGCAACAGCACTACAGCCGTCTTTCTCAAGGCGATTATCAGAGGTGAAAATGAATCTCAGTTGAAAACGCGATTTTTTCCTAAAACAATGATTTTAAGCGAGTCGACTTTTTTTTCACTAGGAGCAAACACCTGTTTAAAGTTGAAGCAGTTTCAAGAAGCCATCATCTGGTGTGATAAAGGACTAACCGTATCCTTTCTTAGAATAATGCACGCAGCCCCTCGCACGACTATTATTTTCTTTACTTTTAATATGTCACTATCAGTTCTTTTTTTTACGTTTCAGTAAATAAGCAGTTTGAATCGATGAAGTCGATTAAAAGAAGTGACCTGCGAGCAGCCATTGCATGATATGTACAGAAAGGGAGTCAACTATTTGAAAATATAATTATATAGCCACTACTATTGCCAGCAACTACATAAGTCCTAGTTTAAGAAAGCACATTATTTTCTGCACCTTCACTCTAGTAAGATTTACAAGGACGACCAGGAACTGTTGGAGATAAAGAGTTGCTCTATCAAGGAACACGAAAATCTTTCAAAACAGGGAGGTGACGAAGAAGCAAAAGAAGAAGACGATTCAGGAAACAACCCAAAATCTCTTGATTGCACATGTAAGTAAACTGCAAACAAAAAGCGGGCTCGTTAACCAGGGTCTTTACTTGAAGTGGGTCTACACTACATTTCGTATGTCAGGCAACATTTTGCAGTTTTATTCTCGATCTGGCCTTAACTAGTTTACTTACTGGCAGAACTCAAGACTCTTTTTGTATTTTTATTTCAGTAACTGCAGAGACTCACAAAAATGCTGGCAATAATGCATTTCGTAAAGACGATTTTGCCACAGCTATAAACTTGTACACAGAGGGAATAGAAGTAAAATGCAACGATGAGGGATGTAAATGCCAAATTGTACAACAACAGGGCTTCAGCCCACTATCAATTGGGTAAAGTATCATTCATATTAACTTTATGTAATGTTGACATTGTACTTTATTCCCTATCCAACATTCCATCGTCTATTCTGCATCCCGGCCCTTTTACGTAAAGGCACTTCTGGAATCTCAATACAACTGTTTCTGTTGCCATTACTGATGTTATCAGGATAACTTTCTAGTGGCAGAAAAGTCACCTTTCTCAAAAAACTTCTTTTTCAGAGAATTACCATGATTGTCTGAGTGGTGTAAAAGCTGCCACAGCACTACAGCCGTCTTATCTCAAGGCGATTATCAGAGGTGAAAATAAATTTCAGTAGAAAACCTGATTTTTTTCCCCTCCATTTAATCATTTCAAATGAGTAAACTTTTTTCACTAGGTGCGAAGACCTGTTTAAAGTTGAAGAAGTTTGAAGAAGCCATCATCTGGTGTGATAAAGGACTAGCCGTACCTTTCTTTACCCTGTTCACAGACCTTCTTTTTTCTCTATTGAGATCTTCATGTGCGCGAACGAAAACAAGAACTGCAAGGGATTTGTTAAGCCGTAAGGCACTGGAAAAATACTCAAACAAAAGGAAAGAAAAAAAACGTGTGTGGACAGGTACGGCTTTTCTTAGAAGAGTAAATACAAATTCCTGACCGCGCAAATTATTACCTCCTTTACTTTTACAAGGTCAAGGTTTTTTTTTTTCACCGTTTAGTAAATTGAGGTTGAATCGATAAAATCGGTTTAAATATTAAGAGGCTTGCTGGTGACGCGTCGTGACGTCTCACACAAAGAGTAGCCATTTACAAGTACAAAATGAATTACCGAACCATTTTAAAATACAGCTCCAACTGATACTGCTGCTACTCGTATCATTGTTACCACTCCCGTCAGCCTCATTTATGGTGAAAGCAAATTATTTTCTATTCCCTTAACTCTTGTAAGATTGACAAGGACAACAAGGATCTGCTGGAGATAAAGACTTGTTCTGTCATAGAAGGCGAAAATATTTTAACACAGGAGGGCGATAAAGCAGCAAAAGAGGAGGGCGATTCACGAACAAACGAAACATCTCTTGATTGTAGAAGTAAGTAAACTCCAAACAGAAAGCGTACTTATAACCAGGGTCTTAACTGCAAGTGGATCTACAATTTGTCAGGCATCGGATGTTATGCTTTCTTCTCTTTCCTTGACTCATTCCGATACTGGCAGAATTCGAAACTCTGTTTGTATTTTTATTTCAGCGATAGCAGAAACTCACAAAAATGCCGGCAATGATGCATTTCTTAAACATGATCTTGTCAAGGCTATAAACTTCTACACAAAGGGAATTGAAGTAAAATGCAAGGATGAGGATCTGAATGCCAAATTGTACAACAACAGGGCTTCAGCCCACTATCACTTGGGTAAAGTATCATTCATATTAACTTAACGCAATGCCCACTTTGTACTTTATTCCGTACCCAACATTCCATCGTCTATTTTGCATCCCGGCCCTTTTAAGTAAAGACCCTCCTGGAATCTCAAAACAACTGTCTCTATTCACCCTATTGATGTTATCAGGGTGAAATCTTATGCAGATTACCTTTTTAAAGGCTAAGAGAATACCATTGAGGGTAGGGAGATTCGGTAGAGAACTTAACACTGTCTCAGAGAGGATAATGCCAGGTCTGATTTGCGTTTTCAAAAATACGTGAAATCTGAGTTCCTGAAAAATGTATGGGCTCATGTCATTGACACTCAAATAAAGCGCTTTATTTCATTATTATATTTTTTTTATCCAACATTCCGTTGTCTTTTCTGCATACCAGAATTTTTTGGTACGTAAAGATACTTCTGTAATCTGAATTTTGTAGTCTCTATTGGTCGTATAGATGTAAAAGTAAATCGCGCTCTCTGATTGGTCAGTTAGCTACTACCATTTGCCCTTGGGTGCACGCCAAGAAACTGAGCTAGCGTGGTAAAATTTAGGCAAATTCAACAAATCTCCTCTCCTGACGGTAAAATACACCGATGAAATGCACAGATGAAAAGTAGAAGTTGAAGAAAATACTAAGCTGTCGTTTTGAAGGAAAAAAAAAAACAAAAGATCAAGCGACAAATTTGCCCTGGATGAATTAATCACTGTTTTCCACACGGCTAGAATCGGCTGAAGAAAAATCGAGCGAGCGAAGATTTAAGGCACATTTTGTGTTTTTTTTATAGAAGAGAAAGTCTGTTTGAAATGTAAATTTATCAATTAGTATTGTGTTATTGACTTTTTGGTCAAGTTGATGCTAAATTCAAGCAAATATTTTAGGAAACACGCTCAAATTCGAGACAGCTTTGTTGTGAAGTTTTCATCGCATCGATTAAAAATTTTAGTTGAGTAAACGGGCACATTACGCTGGAATAAGCGAAATTCATTTGAGTACAGAAACATTTGGGTTTTCAAATAAATTTTTCAAAAAATAACTTCTGTGTGTATTATTTTGTTCCTCAGTGTTTATTCATAACAGTCGTTCAGAGAACAGTCGAAAAACAACAGCTTCAGCGCCAGCTGTATGTCGGCAAATTTCAGTTGCAACTTTGACTTTTATAGCTGGATTTCCCCAGACAGATTTCGATACAAAGCTAGTTAATTTCTTTTAAAATTAGTGTTACCTGTTATTCTAAAGGAATTACAGTCAAATTTTCTCATTTCTACTTTACGTTTATTTCAAAAATTGTCACATAAATAAGCTTGATAATTATTTCATTTATTTAGTTTAGTTGGTGTTTATAGTTGCAGCTATAGTTTTCCCTCAAAGTTTTTACCCTAATATTAAGAGCAAGTAGACAGATGCCATTCACAATAACAACAAAAAACGTTTTGCAATTTACCTGAAGACGGAGAACGGTTGATTCAGCGAAAGAAAAACTCAAAGGCAAGTTTTTGAAAAACATAGAACATGATTTGTTTACGCGCGGGCAGATGGCAGCATACATGAACTCGGATCGATGACTCAACCGAAGGCAAATGGAAAATAATGTTTTTCTCTTTTGATTATGTCATAAAAGAAATAGTAAACGTTGCAGCTGTGCAACCATGGAGTTATGGATGCACTTGGGAGGTTTGCTAAGCACTCAAGAAGCTAGAGTCGCACTCCGTTACGCTTCTTTCGTGCTTTGCAACCTCCCACGTGCATCCATAACTCGATGGTTGCACGCTGCACGTTTACCATTTCTTAACTAGGGTTAAGCCTTATGTGGATACGAGAGTGCCAGTGTGGGTCTCAGGTCGGAAACGGCTGAGGTCTTACCTCGTTAGAGCCGTATCTCCATGTCATGTTCCTTAATACGTTCACTCTTGTTCCTTCCCCTATCGCCCATGGACACTTTGCCGCATTCGTAAGGAAGCGAATCATCTGTTTCGTAGCCATCTTAGTATCGTGGGTCAATATTATCTTTTTGGTCGTACTAGGTGTGATTTTAGTATTATGTTGAATTTGAAGCCTGCCCTCTTTTTTCGAATTTTTATAATTTATATTTTTTTTATTTTCCTGCCTTAAGTTGTATTAAATTAAACAAATGAATAAAAAAATGCAATGTAAAATGCACCAGAATAGTTTGTCCAAACTAAAGACATGCCCGCCATATATCAGGCATGTGCATCTTTTCTGGCAAGATGCGCGTACCTCGTGGATGCATTATGGGTTTTTATTTACGATGTCATAACGATGAGTGAGTTTTTTAAAGTTCTGTAAGGCAAGCACTCTATTTCGCTTGCGAGATACAAAAGTGCATGTTGTACTTCATCAACCGTACAGTGACCATTTCGTTCCAGCGAACTAGAAACGGCTTCAAACAGTGCCACAACCCCGGAGCAACAGTGCTGCGCTTTCTTTTGTAGCTTTTCTTAGATTTTTTTTTAAGCTAATATGATTTATATTTTTGTTTTTCTTCCTATTTTTAATATTACCAATGGTCTAAAACTGTTGGGGGTTTTTCTTTTCTTCAAGGCGATTATCAGGATTCACTGAGTGACGCAAAAGCTGCAGTATCGTTACAACCTACTTACCTAAAGGCAATTGTCAGAGGTACGGACAATCTTGTATATTTAAAAATTACACAGTGGAACCTCTATGTACGAACGCGGCCGGCTTCTATTATTAGCAACCCCCTTTCAAAACACCAAAGTCAAACTCCCGGTGGTGGAATAAATCTATCCTAAACGACCACCTCTTGTAAGCGCCCGCGACCACTTTTTGGGTTGACAGTTTTATAGTTTTCCACTGTCTTAACCCCTATAGGCGACCACCTGACTGATGGTCCAATGTCTACGCTACCAAGAGCATGCAAAAAATTTTTAGTGCATTACAAGACGGAAATTGCATCTAATAAATTCTTTACCAAAAAGACGATGTCTTGGGACCTCTTCTCAAAAGAAGCTCTGCAGTTCCTTTTTCGAAAGCGACCTCTAAATCTTTGTATTTTGGGTGGTAGCTCTGGTTAGACTGTATATTGAATGAGGCCGAAAGGCCGAGTATCATGTATAAAGGAATGTACATGTTGTAGTTAATTTTTTATCTCAGGTAATTTTTATTTTTCTTTTGTTTCAACTTCATTAGCATATATTAGCATACCCAAAAACAAAAGAAAAACAAAAATTACCTGAAATAAAAAATTAACTACAACATATACATGTATAGTATAAGTATAGTATACAGTCAATGATAATCATTTACTAATAATATGCTAATAAGTCCAACTTCTCGACCTTGTTGCCCATCTTGACCATCTTAAGATTGACAAGTGCAACAAGACGCTCTTAGAAACAAGAAAGTCATCCGTGAATATGGAATGCAGGCTCCCCAGCAAAAGAGAGGAGATCAAGCACAATCCAGAAACCACCGATGCGACAGAAACGGTTTGTAGTTGGCGTACATTAGTTTGAAGACAAGCTGCATGCAGTCAAAATTATTTACGAGGGCGGATCAAAACGTTCTGTCACTTGACCTATTTATCTCCCACGCTTCACCGGAAATTTCCAGAATTGCAGTCACATTACATCGTTGCATCCTCATCCTCCACATCTAAAAGCATTCTCGGTTCTCTGAAGCAGGTATGGCCCTCATCTCTGAATGCACAGTTTTGGATCCTTGTACCCAACCCCCTCGTTGTTTTTTTTTCTGCTCACATATCTCTTTGCGCTTTTCCCACGATCTGAACGCCTGGAACAGGCTAGGATCCTTAAAAAAAGGCTTCCTAGCACGGGCTGATTTAATTTTTGGAAAGAGTCAGAAATCGCACGAGCCAAGTCGGGTGAGTATAGTGGATGTTCCATCAACCGGATGCCATTGTCATCAAGGTACGTCTGTGTGTTAAGAGCTATGGGAGGAGCTGCATTGTCGTGATGCAACTGGATTCGAGACCGACGTCGAGTCCGTGCCGTTGACTGATTATGTAGAAGAACTTTTGGCAACACTGACGTTGTGTAATATGTGGCAGTGATTGTAGCTTTGTCGGGCATTATGTCGACAACAACAGGCCCCTGAGTATTGAAGAAAATGGTGAACATTCTCTTTCTTGAACGGAAACCTGTTTTCAGGACCTCCGGGAGTGGGTCATCTTCGGCCAGCCAAACCATATTAGAACGTTTATCTTTCATAATGAAGGAGGAAATTCAACACTCGTCAGCCGTAACAACATCACAACATCAGAAAACTTCTTAGAGCCATTTGGTTCAAACTCTTGAAACCATTTGCGGCAGATTCATTATATTGTCACCATTTGTTCTTTCTGTTCTGTTTTCAACTGGCGGGGGACCCATCTTGCGAACCTCTTGGACCGACTAAGCTGCTCATGGACGATAGCATGTAAATACAGGGTGTTTCAAAAGTTCGTTCCGATTTTTTATTCTCTTAAATTTCACTAATTATTAAAAAAAACCTTTTGTAAAACTTAGTATGTTATTCATTAGTCATTCAACATTGAATAACTGAAGTATAAGTAACCAGAATGTCTTCCTGTATGTTTTCTGACATTTTCTAAGAGGTGAGGTATAGAATGTACGAGCTGCCAAAGCGTGTCCAAAGTCACATTCTTCCAGGCGAAGCGTAGTCACTGTCGTAGCTCGTCCTGTGTTTTGGGGGCTGGATCTTTGTATGTTCAAGGCGGTCTCGTCTGCGATAATCCAGATGGTCTCTAGAGGTTTCACATCACATGAGTTTGCCGGCCGGTCCTCCTTTGGTATAAAGTTGGAAAATCCTTCTGACACCATGCTTGCATGAAGTGTGCACCGCCTTTTTCTCTTCAAGGCTTTCCAACTTTTTTTGGTAACTTATTCCCATACCGTTGTGCTCGAAACTTTGATCGATAATGTGAAGCTGAAATTTTTTTTACCTTTCTGTTTTGTGGAATTATGACGCATATACTTACACAGCTTTTTCGATAATATTCTCACACAGTTTGTGAAAAAACGGCCATCCACTCCTTGGTTTGTCTTCGAAGGTCTTTAATTTTGACCACTTGTTCGGTCATCGTTCATACTTCTTCAACAATTTCACAATTTTGTTTTGACTCAATGGCCAGAGGACCATAAAAATAGATGCCTGAGCTCTAGCACAAACAGTATAGGCCTTCAGAGGAGTAGAGAAAGTAAAAGAAAACGATAAAAATACCAAAATAGAAAACCTACAAAATGGGCTGGAAAAGTATGGCAGAAAAAACCTCGCGTGCGTGTACAGTTGGGGCAAAAATGAATAAAAATTATATGTTCTGCAAATTTTAGTTTGAAATTGCTTTGAACGGTTATTTAGATAAATTTCTTTCCTGAATGAGTTTACATTTGCCTAAAGAAGCATTAAATGCTTTGCGAAAAATACAATTTATAATCGGAACGAACTTTTGAAACACCCTGTAGAAGGACCAGGCAAATTCCACACGGCCTTTATAAGGGCACTAAATTTGCTTAACAATTAGCTGTTCTTGAGGTCTAAAGATTAATATAAGAATGAAGAACCATTGTTGCTTGGAGAACCTAATAAGGCTTTTCATGGTGAAAGAACTTGCTGATCTGCCCTCGTATAATATGGTATCTGCATTATCTTTTAACGTTTCCTTCTACACGATCTCTCTCATTCTTCTTGAATTGTGGTAAAGAGGCCTAATCCAACAAACAGAAAATGTACATCAAACACTTGAATCTTACTGGATTTCCACACACTTTGCTCCAGCAGGCTGTTTTCACTGTCCGAGGTATAACAACAGAAGTTAGAAAATAAATCAATCAATTCTACGGGTGTCACTATAGGGAAGCCTGCTCAAAACATTTATGTAACAGATGTCTTACCAATGCACAATGGTAATGTTAAAAACATACACTATTAAGAACGCATGTAAGCAAAATTCAGATAAAAGAATAAAGTGTCTTTCTAAGCATTCAGTACACATTTTATAGACATATTGAAATATACCAATATATCTGTGTCACTAAAGATCTGATCCAAAAGCAATTTATTTTCACAGGTTTGTAACTTATCATCGACGGACTTTCCAATGGAATACCGCCTCTGCAAAACAAAAGAAGGTGAACTTACAAAAAACCCTTGGGAAGTGAATCTGCCTGATGATTTCAAGGACAACGTTTCATTCCATAAGGAACTGCTTAGATTTGCCAAATTTATCAAAGATAAGGCTAATGAAGGACGCATGTATAGTAGTCTTGGCGATGTTTTTCGGAATCGGTGTGAATACAAGAAAGCCATAGAAAATCACGAACTTGCTCTTGGCATTGCGAGAGATTTGAAGGACAAGGTCGAGGAAGCAAATGCTTGCGGAAGTCTTGGTGATGATTTCCAAAAAGTGTCCGATTTTCGTAAAGCTATCGAGTACCATAACATTGCGCTCAGGATTTTTATAAACCTGAAAGACAAAGCTGGGGAAGCTAAAGCTTGTCGTGGTCTTGGCCATGCCTTTCGGGCTCTTTATTATCATAAACAAGCAATAGAATACTACGAACGTTGCCTTAGTGTTGCAAAAGAACTGGGTGACAAGGCATTGGAAGGAGATGCCTGTAGCGGTCTCGGTTACGCTTTCCATGAGCAAAGCCATTACACAATAGCGGAAAAGTACCACAACCAACATCTCAACATTGCCAAGAGTTTAAAAGACATGTCTGGAGAACGAACAGCATATGCAAGCCTGGGGAGCGTTTTTGGTAGCCTTGGCGATTTTAAAAAATCCTTAGATCATTTTAACTGCGCCATTAACATCGCTAAAAAGATGGGAGACAAGGAAGCGCTCATGTTTACATATGGTGGTCTGGGAAAGGCTTTTGAGCATCTTGGGAATTTAAAGAAAGCGGAAGAGTACACTAATCTGCACCTCGACCTTGCCAAGGAAATTGGAAACAAATGTGAGGAAGGTGGTGCGTACTGCAACCTTGGCCATATTTTTTTCTGCCTCGGTATCTTTAAAAAATCCATAGAATGCTACAATCGTCAACTTAAAATCGCCAAAGAAATTGGAGACTTAATGGCAGAAGGTGCTGCGCTTGGTGGCCTCGGTGTTGTTTTTGACAGCCTCGGAGAATTCGAAAAAGCCATTGACTACCACACGCAACATCTTCGTATTGCTAAAACCATTAAAGATAAAGATGGGGAAGCAATTGCATATGGCAATCTTGGCAACGCTTATCTTAGCCTTGAAGATTTCAAGAACGCCCTAGATTACTTTGAACAACGCCTTAGTATTGCGAAAAACCTGGGAGATAAGGCAGGGGAAGGACGTGCGTATGGCCATCTCGGAAGCACTTATCAACAACTTGGGGACTACAAGAAAGCCAGGGACTATTACAATCGGCGTCTCTGTATTGCCCAAGAACTTGGAGACAAGGCTGGGGAAGGGGCTGCCTGTGGCTATATAGGTTCCATTTTCCTGAATCTTGGCCGCTATACGATAGCTATTGGTTGGAACGAAAGACGCCTCAGAATCGCTGAAGATCTAGGAGACAAAGACATGGAAGGTAAAGCATACAGTGATCTAGGACGATGCTTTGAGATGCTGGAAAGTTTATCGAAAGCACTCAAAAACTATCAAAAAAGTGTTGAAGTTTTCAATCAAATGAGGGGTCTTCTTCAGTCTGAAGATAAATGGAAGATTGGATTTCGGAACGAATATAACCATGCTTACACAGGCCTTTGTAGAGTTTTGTTAAAACAAGAAAAGCTTGGTGAAGCTCTGGTTGCTGCCGAAGAAGGTCGGGCCCAGTCACTAGCTGATCTTATGACATCCCGGTATGGTTTTCATGAAGGTCAAACCGAGGAAAAGCGCCTACACGACGAGGAATTCGGCATGTTAAACAATACGGCATCAAGCACGATTTTTCTATCTGTGTCAGAAAATAAGATAAATATATGGTTAGTTTTGAAAGAGAAACCTGTTCTTCACCGACAGAAGACACTTTGCCATTATTTTTCAAAAAATGCAGCAGCTGAAACATTACTGTCCCTAATCCAATTTGCCTACGAAAAAAATGATGTTCGTACAAATGTTAACTGCGAGAATCGGTCCTTAGATGTGTTACGCGAAAACCGCTATACTGTGGAGCGGTCGTCCAAAAAGTGCTCACAGCAAATTCTCCAAGAGGATAACCTTCCACTAGCCACCTTGTACAGCTATGTTATTACCCCAATTTTGGATCTCATTGAGGGCGATGAGCTAATAATTGTCCCGGATGGTCCATTATGGCTTGCTCCGTTTGCTGCATTACTGAATCCTTCTTCCAAATACTTGTGTGAATCCTTCAAAGTCAGATTAATTCCTTCGCTAACAAGTTTGAAAATTATTGCTCATTGTCCAAAATTCCACAACAGTAGTGAAGCTCTAATTGTCGGAGATCCAGATATGAGTGAAGTTACCAACAGGCAAGGAGATCAGATCCTGGAGCAGCTTCCTTTTGCCAGACAAGAAGCACAGATGATTGGGCAGATTCTTAATACGGCACCTCTAACTGGAAAATTGGCCACCAAATGTGAAGTGCTAAAACAGATTAGTTCGGTTGCCGTAGTACACATTGCTGCACATGGACGCATGGAAACCGGAAAGATAGCGTTGAGCCCGAATCCTGCAAGCCGTAAATCGCAGACCCCTGAAGAAGAAGATTACATGTTGACAATGAAAGATGTGATGAGTGTGAAGCTGCGAGCCAAGCTAGTTGTCCTTAGTTGCTGTTACAGTGGTCGGGGAGAGATCAAAGCTGAAGGCGTGGTCGGTATTGCTCGTGCCTTTATTGGTGCTGGTGCTCGTTCTGTTCTGGTGTCGCTGTGGGCCATCGATGACGAGGCCACGTTGGAGTTCATGAAAAGCTTCTACCACAACCTTGTGAAAGGGCGAAGTGCGAGCGAGTCTCTTAACCACGCAATGAAATGTCTCAGAGAATCCGAGACGTTCAGCGATGTAAAATACTGGGCGCCTTTTACACTTATAGGCGATGACGTCACTCTCGACGAAGAAGAAGAAATCAGGGTCTCGTAAATAAATTAACAAACTATGTCCCCAAAAGGCAGAGAGATGGTATGAAACAATTAATGCAAAGTCTTGTCGATCTTTCGACAACTTCATCTGACTGTGAGGAAAGTAAATGAGAATTAGATATCGCCTGCCTGAAGAAGCGGTATCTTAATTCTCTTCCGCGAAGAAACAACTCACGGCTGCGTGGGAGACTAGCAGTCTAAGCAAGTGGACAATTATTTATTTCAATAATACAGCAAGGTCAATCTCATGTATCATGTTCTGTTTCATTTTTCGGACAAATGAAGTACTGTGGAACCTACAAAACAAAGAGCCAAGGGACTGGCAAAATTTGTTCGCTTTACGCGGTTTCGTTTCATTGAAGTTCTTTTCCATGCATATATTTTACTATTACTAGGTAAAGAAACTCATTCGTTATGCCGAGGACTTCGTTATATAGAGGTTCATTATATCTATGTCCCACTATAATAACACAGAATTGGTAATTGTTCCCTAGACTTTGTAGAGAAAACTAATTACAAGGCTGAAATCTGTGAGTTTTTGTGCTACTATAGAAAGCAACGACGCCTTAAATGTTAACAGAGCAGTGTCGCAACTGATATATGGTGTTTTCTAAGCACGCTAGTTTCAGCTGTAGTTTTAAGCAGTATGTGATTGTTATCGTGCAGCTGCAGTACAAAAAGATAAATAATCGAAAAATAAAGATTAAAATTCTTTGCAATGGTACATCTAATTTGATCGGGTCAAATTCACTTCCTTCCTTTTGGCATTTCAAAGACGTTTTAAAATAAGGTTCATAGTATACTTGGCAACGCAATATAAGATAAGAACTAACATATTTCGAGATTTCTGCGTGGAATGCAGCTGAACATGAATTTATTCCCTTAATTCACTCTTTAAGTCTTCAAAAGAAAAAGGAACGAGACAAAAGACCGTACAATTTGTTGATGAAACAGCCAAATCTCTCAAAAAAGACCGCCCTTTGGTACCAGCAAGTGTCAGTCTTATAGTGTTCTCCCTTCTCTCTCTTTAGCCCTTTCACTCCTAATACAGGGATACAAATGTCTTTTTGTAAAATCCTACGAAATATATATAGCGCCGTGTCGTTGGCAGAGTAAAGCGCACAAAATCTGTTTTATCAGGTGAGGTACTACCATAAAAAGATTGAAAAGCTCAGGTTTTGAGCATCAACCAATTGTTAGTGCGAAAATGGCGACTGGTAAATGCCTTGGGACTCTGAAACCAGGCACAAATCAGTTGAATGAAAGGTTTTCATATTGATTCCGTTCCAACTTGGAAGGTAACTGATTGTTCTAAATTTTTGCGGCTTTCCTTGTTACCTTGGTATAGCGAAAGACCACAGTGAATGAAACGACAACCCAAGAGGAAAACCGTTTCTTATCTTCGCACCTGTCAAAAAATATCTAAATTGGATTCGTCAATCCCAAGCAATGACCCACTGTGGAGGGATCTTCTTGAAGCGTGAGCTAACTTTAGCTCGTTTTAACTCCTACCCCTTTTATCCTTTTTAAGACGGGAGTTCATAGGCGAAGTATAAGTAGAAGGGAGAAAGGGCTTTCCCAACCTCGTTCCCAGGGTTCTTTCTTACCCGTCCCTACGGAGTGACGTAGGAACGGGTAGGAGAGAACCCTGGGAAGGCTTTCCTTTAGCCTTAATTTGCAATAAGCACCCATAACAGAAGAAGAGCCGTGAAAGCGATCTGAGAGATATCGAGCTCAGGTAACCTAAAATCTGTAGACTTTCCTTTTGTAGCCCAACCTCTCCTCTCATCGTTATTAGCCAATTAGAGCCATCATAAAACACAACTCGATGCAGCCCCAAAATGATTGTGTTTATGGTTGATGTAGAACGTTGATGTAACCAGCAGTCATCTCCATAGAAACGAAAGTATTTTTTTTTTTTCAATGCCTAAAGACCCCAAACCATACTGGCAAATACCGGAAAATAAACTTATAATTTGAAGGGCTGAATACGCTGCAAAAATACTGAGTTCACCATTTTCACATAGGCCATAATGCACCTTGTTTACTCTTAAACCCGCCGCCCCTCCCCCTCCCTCCCAAAAAAGGAAATTGTATAACCATTGTCGTAGATTTCTCTTGGGACGGCTATAATACCCACATTACTCAGGAGAAATTGGGAACAATGGTTATGCACAAATTTGTGGGGTTAACAAGATGCATTATGGTCTATGTGAAAATGGTGAAAAGAATGTTTATTCGGGAGATTTACTGACCTGTAAAGGATAACAGAAGATTCATCAGTAATCTGGGAGAGATCACATTATCACATATGCGATCTTCTCGGTCTGTATAAAAGTCTCTGAACAATCAAATGGCCGGAAGTGAAAAATTGTTTGGGAGGGATTGGTCACTTCTGTATGAAAAATGTTTTCCGTATTTCTACCCAAACTTTAGCTTATTGTAATAGAAAAGAGGACGGCAGGGTTCGTTCCCGGTTTGTTAAAACTCGATATTTTCAATCCGTAGAGCAGCTAGCCTCCTACGCGCGTCGAAGTGCCAAGGAGATCTGCGGAGCAGCTCGTTATCATCCATCCCAAACAATATCTGCCAGGATCTCGTAAACTGCCAAAATGTTTGCTGAAGATAGCGATAAACATGGGCGGCTAACCGGTAAGATGAGAATTTCTGTTTGTGAACTTTCGCCAATGAAAATCCTGTCCCCGGTCCGGTTAATGGAGAAGACACAGTCCAGCGCGAAACGCAAGAGACAGAACGCGGGGAACGCGGGGCGAGGAGGAGAGAGAAAACATTGTGCAGGGGAGAAATAGTAAAAACAGCGATTGAATTCATCTGGTGTGGTTGCGTTCTTATTTCACATGATGAATGAGTTTCAGATAAGCCATTGATAGGAGAAATTTGATGCTGATCACTCTTCGGGCCGTTAAAGGCTTTACCGGATTAACCAATCAAGAAGCCAAAATCCTTTCACTTAGCCTGTCTTCATTTGCCGCCTTCTTTCGCGAGGAAGAGCAAAGAAGAAATACGATGTTGAAAAAGGAAAGTCTTATGAAAACAAGATGGATAAGTTTAGGTCTCTGGGAAACTGCTGCTGAAACAAAAAAAAAACGAATCTAATAGTTGTTTTATTATACATTGTTTTGAAGAAAACAACGACAAACACACCGTCGTAAGGAACCTGAATTGATATAATTGTTGTTGGTAATCATCAAGAGCCATAATAGGACAGCTATCCTATTATGGCTCTTGGTAATCATGCATTGGGGCCTGCACAACCTACAGATTAGTCACCTACTAGCAGAGAACTAACTAATCTGTAAGTTGCGCTGATTTCCAAAATTAACTATAGGCTCTTAGCCAAAGAGAAGACAGATAATGAGTACAATGTAGAATAATGAGAAATAGGGCCCCCGACTTCCTTTACACGTGTATTTCTTACATGGTAAGTGCAACTCAAAATCTTTAAAACTCGCCAAAACGCCCTCGAAATGGCTCTAGAAGCAAACAGAAAAGACACGACACAAACACGAGGTTTAGTTATTTTAATTTCGAATATTTTTAGTACGTATTTTGTTTATTCCCAGAAATTCTCTTATAATATTCTAGTATAATTATTAGCATATACGAGCACTTCTAGAAGCATATTATGCTACTTTTGAGAGCACAGTTTATTAAAGCCTACAGTATATAGTTCAAACTTGATCTCGTTCAGAAGAGATTGAACTCTTTCTTTTAATTGATGAAGTTCCTCTTCTGTCAGAATTTCTGTCCACTAGTATTTCTTGAAGGGATTTGGATCTTCTTCCATTAAACATTAACTTTCTGAGACTACAAGAGACTGAGAAATAGATAGACTGAAAGGGAAAAAGCAAATAAGAATTTGTTTAGTCAAGAGAGGATAAAGGCCGGGGACAGAGAAGGCATCCCTCATACACACTCTATTCCACTAGTAATTCGTCTCGAGTTATTTTTAAGACCACAGATCCCAAGGGGGATTAGACAACAGCCACTCACATAGCGCGAATGTGTTCCGCGTGGATGACCCACACTCAGAGCCACGCGTCCTTTAGGAATTGACGCCGGACAAAATCGCGGAAGACGCGGAGAGCGATATTGCTATTCGTTTTGTTGACAAAAACGAAAACAAAGATATTTCTGCTAAAGCTGTGTCAGCGAAACGAAAATTTAAAAAGAATCACCCTTCCTCTCTTGTATAGAGCTAACAGTACAGTAGGGAAATCCTTAAGGGCGTCCTACTTGCTTTATTGTACAAACGACCGGTTTCAATAGACCGGCGAAATTTCTCATTTTATTAAAGCACTGAGGTTACGACAACCTCGAGTTAAACTGATTTCACGGGTTGTCAAAGAGTCTAGCGATTCCCTTTTCCTAGGTGAGCGCCGACTCATTTCGCATGAATATTCAGGAATGCTCTCGATCTCTTTACGCTTTCATTGCCTTTCGCCCGACATGTTTTCCACGGCGTTTAGTCATGCGAAACCTCCACGAAACATCCACGCAGCGCGCCAGGTAACTTTAACCCGATTCTAAAAATAACTCGAGGCGAATTACCTTGGGACTAGAGTGTGTATGGGGTATGCCTTCTCTGTCTCCTTTATCCTCTCTTGGTTTAGTGCATAACTAGACCTTCAGATTCGAAAATTGTTCGGCATAACTTGGAAGAAAATTTCTATCAAAGAAGTATAGGGTCCTTTCCATAATGACAGACAGGCTGGCCAGTTAGAGAGCAGTGGAAAAACCAAGGGAAAATGGAACGCCAATGTTAAAGACAGTTACTGAGTGAAGAGAAAACAACGAAATTAAGGTCAAAACCTTTAGGAATGACATTCCGTTATTTGTTGTCGAGTTCGCTTCTCTAATCACATGCCTGACGTGAGCGCGCGGGCACCTAGCTTGGAGAATGAAGACGCTTCCAACCTTTTTTCTAGAGCGAGGTGAAAATCAGAAAAGGCAGAAGCCGATTATAGTAATCGGCCCCGA